TGATAAGAGAGAAAGAAATGGGAACAACAGTTAGTTGACTTATATTTAGTTAAGACTGAAAAAACAAAGTGTTTTACGTTAATGACCCTGGGGCACAGATGCCTGAACATAAATTACCAAGCTGCTAAAGTCCTTAATTTACACAGTGAGGGAGGAAGTCTCTCTCCTGTCTTCCCGGCTCTGAATCATGTGTTTCATCTGTTGCTGGATCCCTTGGGAAAGACGAGAAAAGTTTGATCTTATTGCACACATGGATGCACAGGCATGTAACCCATGTATTTTTTATTTTTTTTTTAAATATTGGATTGATTTATTCAATATTGTATAAAAGTGTTTGTTGGACTTCAGCTGGATAAAATCGTGCCTTTCTGTCCTTGGAAGGAATTGCAAAAGTTACCGCAAGTACATGCACGAGCTGCCAAAAAATGTCTCGGCAAGACAAATTGGGTGCAAACCAAAGATAAGATCATGGTTTATAAAGAACCAGACAGGATTTGAGGTAAACGGGACCAGCTCTGGGAAAGAAAACCAAGCCATTTAAAACGGATCTAGATCAAGTTTTTCACACATAAATATTTGGAAATGCCCAAGGTGCAGTAAATCTAAAAATAGATCTGGACACACATGCCGCGTGTCTACATGTGTGTGAATTAATTTAGAGCCTGTGTGCAGGTGCAGATGCTGCAGAGAGCATGAACTGGTCCTTGTGGTCTGTGTTATTGCACTACCCTGGTAAACCCACATGCCCGAAATCACCGACACCACCCCCTGCATAATACATCATTGTGTGTGTGCTTGTATATTTGTGTGGGTGTATGTCAACTGGGCCATTGTTCCATCACTACTTTTAACAATTCTGTCGTCCAATTGGCAGCACACTTCATTAAAGGCCTGTTTTATGCTGAAATACAATGATGTGTTTAGCTGTGTAAACGAGGCCGACAGATAGGATTGAGAGGAGCTATATAGTGTGTGTGGCTGAGTGTGTGTTCAAGGGTACACCCATGTCGGGAGTTTTTTTGTATAAGTAAACAAAAATGTAGAACCCACTCATTTATACACACACGATGGCATCGGGTGATAGAATCACCTCTAGTTGTAAAATTCCTTCAGGCGTGCAGCTTGACTGTGAGGGCCTATATCTGTGTTTGTGTAGTTTGGTATGCGTGTTCGGCTTGTACTGGTGTTACTAACTGATCCCAGTCAGTGTCACCTTCCCGTAAACAGCCTCTTGTTGTTGACCTACCTCCTTTTTAGACATAAAATGACACACACACACGCGCACACGAATGTGCAACAATCTCTTATTGATTCATTCTGGTTGGTTGCTCGCTGGTGAAGCTGATGGCATGTCAGGGCGCAGCCCTGGAAACATCGGTCAATGATCTCACTCCAGTATGAATAGACCCGAGAGATTAAAGACAAATGCACAACTGAGGACAGAGAACAGCCGCTAGAGTATGGGGGATTTGAGAGGAGATGAACAAGAGGCCGCATCCTCTTTATGACTGATTCATTTACTGAAAAGCATAAGAAAAAAACTGTAAAGAGAATCCAAGCAGCATAAGCAATACATGGGTGCGCATTAAAACAGACTGCTATTAGAAAGATATGACAAGAAAATGATACATTTCCTAACCCTCTAGCTGTCTTTAATGATGCAGTGCATTATACAATAATATCCGATGAGGAGATGTAATCTTTCCTGAGAAAATAGCAGATATACTCTACAATAAAATGCCATTCAAGACCACACAAAATGCGATCAAATATTAAATGCTGTTTTATCACATACTCAACCTTTTTACATCATACAGTCTTTACTGCACGGCTGGAGGGCATTATTTTGTAAGATATCCTGCTGTTTTGTTCATTCCCTTCAAATTACAAATGAGTGGAAACAGAACTGAGAAATTGTAACATCCCATAAAAGCATGCTGTCAGGGTTATGTAAAAGCTTATGTATTTCCCATTAAACAATTTGTTAGGAAAAAATCAAGAAACTAAAAGAACATACAAAATACGTATGCCCGCACAAATCCTGTTGACCAATATTCAAAGGACAGAATAAATATCACCGTAAATGACTAATACTCAGGGGCAGACTGGCCATCAGGAATTTTGGGAAGACTCCCGAATGGCCGATCCAATCGAGGCTGAACCGGTCGATGGTCATCGAGTTTTTATTTTACAGTTTTAGATGTCAGTGGTTACTGGACGTAAGAAAGGGGGCAATCTAATACTTTCAATGTTGAGTCCAATTTGGACTGATTGACGTTTTTGTTGAAATCTGATTGGCTCAGTCATTTTCATCGTGAACGTGTCGACCTGTGACTAGTGTTCCAGCTCACCTCGGCTTATTTGCTGGTCATGTTTTGATTCAGTGCGATGGTGATGTGCTGTATTAGTGTTGACACTACTGAAGAAAAATGTTCTGCTCGCTCCTGCAGGCGCTCACATAAAAGGCCTCCCCATTCCCGGGCCGAATTTCAGTCCCAGTACGTCCTTGCTTATACTTGACATAATCTGGAGATATGTTTAAGCTCCACCACTGTAGCTACCACATGCACTCGGATATTTGGTAAGGTATCAAAGCAAAATCAGGATGTCTGTCGCCTTAAAGAATTGCTGGGGAAAAACTTTAACAGACCGATCACTCTGTTATATGATATAAAACTTCCATGACCAGGAAACATAGTTAAAGAAAAACAGACAAGTAGAGCCTGACAGTTGACATGAAACATGCAAGGCTACAAACACGGAGAACAGAAACCTGTTTTATTCCGGCTTTAATTGTATATCAAATTAAACTCTAGCTGGGATCAGCTCCCGCGACCCTGAATAGGATAAGTGGTTTGGATAATGGAATGGAATTAAACTGTTGGTGGGAAGAACAAACGCATACAGTGCACATGTACAGCCCAGCAGATGTTTCCATATGAAATGTCACGTTTGTCACCGTCACACTTTCAGTGTCTTTACTGCATCCACTTACTCCCTGACCCTCACACATTTGAGCTATGGAGAAACATTCCTGTGGCAAAGTGTTTGAAGCGGTGCAAGGTCCTGTTGCTCCTCTTCTATAAGGAATATCAGCACCCAGCAGAAGCCCCATATGCACATATCTTTATTTTGGACAATTAAAAAAAATGAATTGGAAAAAACAAATTTGGACACTGCTGTTTTAATGTGTACAGTGCACAAACAATGCTGCGTGAGCACTTTTATCAAATCATGTTTTATCAATTCCTACTTACCGACCTATACTGGATTTTTGGAAATTGATATCGGCTGATTTGTGCTGGTTTATAGTTTTAACCATGAGTGAGGTGGTTGTTGCATTTCTTTAAAAAATATGTTTTATGCATATACCACTGATATTACTGTGGCTTATATCGCCGTCCATGTAGCACAAGTGTGGTCATTGCTGTCCTCAGATCAGCTTTGATGTCGATGGATACTTTGGTGTTGCACTGGTTGGACTTGTTGGACTATCTACACACTATAGTGCATCCAGGGAAACCCACGGCCCAGGCATACTGCTGACAAGGTCTTACTCAGACAAAAAACAGATGAGGTGTATTGCATTAAATGATAACAGGAACCTCTCAACACAAGACAGCATTCACAGCTCTCCTTCTTTACTTTGAGTGTCAAACCGTATAACCACAAACCGAGTTCTCTAAACATCCACAGTATTTCATCGGTAAACCTTATTGGAGGCAGTACCCTTGAGGGAGGAAAGGCTCTAGAAGCTGAACTGTAAGTCGCTTTGGATAAAAGCGTCTAAAGCTAAATGACTGTAATGTAATGTAATGTCTTACAGATGTTTAGCTCAGACCTGTTCATATTTCTCTCCTCCAACTGTACGTTCTTTACACTTTCTTTATGCACAAGTTTGATGATAGTTGCTTTAAATATGATTTGAACTGTTAAAAAACTATTTCCTGACCTGATGTCCTTTTTGCTTCTGGTGTTTAAATATAATTTAAGAACCTCACATCACATGTCGATGAAATCAGATGGCAATATCAACACGCTGTTGGCAAACTACTGAGGAACAAGAAACAGGGAGGAAAAGGCCAAACATATGAGTAGCTGTATAGACTGATGTGTTTCCAGCTACTACAAGGCTGTCGGTTCAAATTTACAGAGGTGAAGGACATGAACCTGCCTCTGGAAGTTTCGAGAAGGGCCGCTCTGGAAGGAATGCAGGGCTGCTAAGATTCACAGGTCTTCGGTTACTGGACAGCTTACTTAACCTTTTGATTTACGTTAACCCGTGTATCTTCCTGCTCAATAAAGTTGTGATGCACTGCAACAGTTACATTCATTTGTCCCATGTGTGTAACTTATGAAGCTGTTAGTGAGGATTAATTAATTAATTAATATGACTTATATCCATAACTGCTGTAAATAGTTGTTTTAGTTAACTTTGCATCAGTGATGTAATGTTCTATTGCATCAATATCATCTTAAACCAGACAGGTCAACTAAACAGCACTATAAACAGATGAGCAATGATCTGTGTTAGGATGAGGTGCTGAGCTGATATCCCTTCTGAGTTAATTTAACAGTGTGTAACAGGCCTGTTCCTCAGATGACCTTTTAAAGGAGCTCATGGCATCAAGAGTATCAAAGACCAAGAGTGTCAGATTGATACGGGCCTTTATAGACGAAAAACAGCTGCTTTCAAAAGCACACATACATTGAAAGAGGTCACAAGTTTTCAGCCCTAGCAACTTAAATTTCATAGTCACAAAAAACAGTGAGAGTCTTTTGGATTGTGTCATAGCTGATGACAGAAATCTCTCCTTGTCTCGGGTTTAGTCACAATTCACCATAACCACAGTTTCTCGCAACCTCTGATCGTAACATTTATTTTACCGCCATGGTGTTCGCTAACAATCACTTTAACCTATTTTAAAAGGGAAATTAATTGTGGAATTATAATTTATGCACTTTCTCTTTCCCTTATTTCTTTCCCTCCCTCTCTCCAGGGCCTCCAGGGTTCCTAAACCTCCTCCTGTGGCACCAAAGGTAGGCCTGCTGACAAAACAGAAAATTATATACATTTGAATGCATGGCATGTCTATTTACAGATACAAAAAAAAGTCATGAAATGTTACCGTTTAATTAACGCAAGGTACTCCAGATGAAAAATGTGATTGTAGCTTGATAGATGAATTCAAAAAATATATTTTTTGAATCTATACTTTCTATATTTTAATAAGATGTTGGGATAACTTGTCCAAAACAAATTTTATGTGTTTTTGTTCGTTTAGAAAATGTAATTGTTTTGTAATCGACCAACTTTGGGGTTACTATGCAACGGTAAAAATATACCTGTGACATGAAAAGTTATTTAATTATTGATTGATCCATGACAGTATGACTACATCAAAAGAAAAAAATAATAATTCACCTGGGGTACTAAGTGCTCTAAATACTTTTCTTGACTACCTCAACCCTTCTGAAACGATGCCATACACAATTATTTTGCTGCATGCAACCTTTGTCTTGATTTAAGTAGGTATGTTTTTTCGAATGTTGCTACATTCATTTTTTTATTTTAAATGACAGTTAAGTATACTGATGCCTCGCTATCCCCAGAAAACTCTTAAAGCACATTTACAGGGTCTATTCTAATTGATTTTTTCCCCAGCTATTTCTAAATGAACTGAAACCTTATTAAATAGACGGATCATAGGCTTTATACTGCATAAAGTCAGAGGGACGAACACAAAAACATAACCTGAGAGGCATCAGTATCGTGTGTTTTGTGTTGTGATTTGTTTTTTGTTTGCATGCTCTTCTCTAATGCCGCTAGGACAACAGATCAGACATCATAAAACCAGTGGCCCTCACCCATCCCCCTTCACCACCCCATCCCCACCCTCACTCGTCCAGCCCCTCCACCGTCAGCTACAACAAAGCCCCCAGACCTTACTGGGGCTGTGCGCCAGAGAGCGAATACCCTCCCTTCATCCCATCCCCATCCTCTGCCTTCACTCCCGCCTCCTGCAACACCAGTCCTTTTCCTCCTCCTCCACCTCCTGTCTCTTACCCATCCTCTTCCTCCCCTTCCCCCCCTGTCCTCGTTGCGCCCCAGCCATCAGTGTATAACACACCCATCAACCTCTACTCCACTGAGAACGCATGTGAGGTGGCCATGGGGCAGAGGAGGGGCCTATTGGAGAGTCAGGGTGGAGCCTTGCCTTTGCAGTTAAATGGGTGAGTGGCGTTCTCTCCAGCCAATCAAGCAAATGAATCACTTCTCTGCATTTCATCTACCTCCGACTTTCTGCGTCTTGGTTCTGGTCAAGTTCTCAAATGGGAGATGAGACATCCCTTAGCCTGTCAAAGGTCTACTATAGAATTGTTGGTGTTTTTCCAAGCTTATGTCGAAGTTTATGACCCTGACTCAAAATAGTTTATTCCGTGCAGTTTGCTGGTCATGCTCGCCAGACTCTAGCTTGAAATCTGGAAATCTTTTCAAAGTTCTTCCACATCATTAAATCAGACTGGCATGTCTGTTTGGTGTTTTGTTTAGAGGAGAAAACATTAAAAACCAGATCAAAATACTTAACTGCACATTGTCATGAGATGCTCGGGTTGAGTTGAGCAAGCCGAGTCTAATTAGGGTACCTCTGTTTGTGAGTTTGTATTGTAGTGTGGCAAACTGTTGCTGGTTTGGTTGCCATTTACCAACCAAATTCAATTCAATTCAATTTATTTTTGTATAGCCCAAAATCACAAATTACAAATTTGCCTCAGAGGGCTTTACAATATGTACACATTTGACATCCTCTTGTCCCAGGACCCTCACATCGGAACAGGAAAAACTCCCCCAAAAAAAACCCCATTAACGGGGAGAAGAGAGGGAGAAACCTGTGGGAGAGCAATAGAGGAGGGATCCCTCTCCCAGGATGGACAGAAGTGCAATAGATGTCATGTGTAGAACAGGATAGTGAATTACAACACATTCAATGTAATTACAGCACATTCAATGTATGACAGAACCACGGCAGGAGGCAAGACCTGGTCCAGGTATAACCCGGATACACAGGAACCTGTGAGGCGAGAAAGCACAGAGACTCTGGTGAAGAAGTACTAGGTCAATAATGTGCATTAATGGTATCGGTAATATGAAATAGTGATGAGAGTAATAATAAAAGTGATATTAGCAGTTGGAGTCAGCAGGGCCATGGTAGGAGGAAGGACCAGGGTCCAGATGAAACCATGCTCCATGGAAACCTGTGAGGAGAGAAAGCACAAGGACTCCGGGGAAGAGACAAAATCAGTACTGTGCATTAATGGTATCGGTAATAGGGTTAATAATGAAGATCGTAGTAGATGTCAGCAGGGCCATGGCTGGTGGAAGGACCAGTGTCCAGATAAAACTGCGGTCATGGGAACCTGTGAGGCGAGAAAGCACAAATACTCCAGGGAAGAAGTAAAGTTAGTAATGAGCATTAATGGGACATCAATGCATACAGACAGAGGTGAAGAAGAGGAGGAGAAAGGTGCTCAGTGTATCCTAAAGAAGTCCCCCTGTAGTTTTTGCCTATACCAGTTTGTCTAAGGGCCGGTCCAAGGCAAGCCAGAGCCAGCCCTAACTATAAGCACTATCAAAGAGGAAAGTCTTAAGCCTACTCTTAAATGTGGTGAGTGTGTCTGCCCCCCGGACTGAAACGGGAAGCTGGTTCCACAAAAGAGGAGCTTGATAACTGAAGGCAGAAATCCCCAAACAGAAATACTGTCAGTTATTTGAGTACACCGTCATGTTCGAGAACTTCTATTACTATTGTACCAGTTTGGAAACACTGATATGTAAGCAAACTAAAGTGGGCTAATGTACCATTTGTTAACATGAGAAGGGAAATTCTCCACTGAAAGAGTTTTAATAGCTAGCTTCTTGTAATGGAAAACTGGATAGTTGATGTACTTTGAAGGAGCTTTTAGCAGTCCAGTAAAATAATGGAACATACTGAAACATAACTTTTTTCTAGGTTGAAATGTAGGATTTCAACATACAGTTTACTTAAAATTGTAGAAAAGATGACAATTGAAATCACTATGAATGTGCATGGATGGAGTAAATTATCCTTGGGAAGATGGCTGTATATATTTGTACTCATATTAACACATATTGCCATGAAACAAATCAAAAAGTACTCTCCCTCCCACTCCAGTTAGTTTGTAAGGGCATTTTTACTTTCATTTTTTCAAAAAGCATTCAAGATATTTTACTTAAAGAAACTTTTCTTTGTGAAAGTACACCTCTTCTACTGTATCTTGTATCGAAGGCAGCACCACATGTAAAACACATCAATGGTTACTAGCACTTGAAAATAACATAGCTAATACTTTCTACTCAGCGCCTCTCTTTACATAATTCCCACCTTCATCTTCTATGTTTCTGTCTCAACCCGACTCTCCTCTCTCAGGAGGCATAGTGAGTATGGCTATGCTGTGATTCTATAAGCTGTGTATATATAGCCTGCGTTGGTGCTGTGTGGCATTCTCTTTGCTCTTGCAGCAAATCAGTCAGTCAATAAAGGTTTCAGCCCTGAATCCACGTAGATTTTCTCTTCACAGACTAACACACTTCACGCCACATTTTCATTCACTTGTTCATTCATTCTTTTAGAGATTCACCTCAAAACAAAACAAGATATGGATGTTTTTGATTTGTTGCATACTCCTTTTCTGACTCATCATTTCTACGTTGATCTTAACGTGTATGTTCTTTCTGCACTTTTTTCTGTGGTCAACACTGAGAAAAGGATCAGTGGTTTCTCTTTCTGTGACACTCGGCAGACACCAGTGATCTGCACAATATAACCTTACACCATGCAGCTGTGGTCACACACACACGCACGCACAAGCTGCCTTTCAGTTGAGTACATAGCTTTCCCCAAGATGTCATTTAATAGCATGGGATACTTTAATAAGGCAAGATCTGGATCTGTCTTTAGTATTTTTATGACTTTAACTTGCTTTCCTCTCTTAACCATTTCTATCTCAATGTTCTTCTCATTTATTTTTTTTTACATCCTCTTTGCTTTTATTCCCAGTGACTGTTCAACAACTACAGTAGTTAAGTAACTGTCATCTACAGCATAGATCAACATACAGGTTCAGGTTGATGCAGTTGGTTTATTCCAGTATCAGTTAATGCATTCATTCCTTTTAATCTATTGCTGATGTGACAATGTGAGACAGTATGTGTGTCCGTACTTGCGTCGTGCTTGCCTGTTTGCATGCTGTACTGTAAAAGAGCTGTGTGGTTCGTTTCAGAGGGGATTTTGTGAATGTTTTTACTGTAAATTGGCAATAATTTGGATGTGTCAATACTCTGTCTTTCTTCCTTCCTTTCAACCCTTATTTTCTGCTTTGCAGACTGCGGCATCTTCTCAAGTCACAAAGTTAGTCTCTAAAGCATGCCAGGTTATTAGTGTTTGTCAGCCTGCCTTTCTTTTGACTCTTCCACCTCTCTCTGTACCTGTGTGTCTACTTTATTGTGGCATCTGCATGCATTTGTTTATGACTTTACTGCAGAGAATGATTGGTGATAGCAATGTTTTATCATTTTCATGTTTAAATTGAGCAAGAACTGCAGCACACATACATTCAGGTAATTCAAATTTTGTGTGGGAAACATGCTGAGGCTACAGTATGTTTTACTGTAAATCACAAAAAAAATATTTTGACAGAGTGGCACACACACACACACACACACACACACACACACACACACACACACACTGTCAGACACTGTATAACTGTAAGTGTGTGACCAGGCTCACATAGAGCCGTCAACACACTCACACCCACATAGCTGCTGCTGTGACAAGAATGTGTTCATCATCAGTGTGCTAGGTGAGTGTGTGTGTGTGTGTGTGTGTGTGTGTGTGTGTGTAGCCAATTAGTAATGGGCCAAGGACAACTGTAGATTTACACACATTTACTGTTCATACGTTTTTAGAAACACAAACAACAACAACTTAAAGAAAAAAAAATATCATCATGTTTTTTATTACCATGTTTACTGTCCAAACAGTCCAATTTTGAATGACTATACTTCCGTAGAAACCCAGACGATCCAGCAGTACCACCATGTGGTTGAAAATAGAACTCACTTGTATTTAGAAACTGGTGATCCGATCAAATGTCTCCGTGGATATTTTGACTCTGTTTTGCATGCATTGGTAGTTGTGGCTCATATGTTTTTCTTTTTCTTTTCTCAAGCTATATTCTTCTGCCTCCTACTGCCTGCTTTTAACACTTCCTTTTGATTATTATTTTTTAAATAATTGAATTCATTCTTCATACTTGTATCTCTTCCTCCTCTACTTTATTCCCCTTCAGTGGACCTCACAGTATTTTGAAGTAAGTCTTTTCAGATTGTGTCTTCATAACTGTGAACGTTGCTGTTTTATTTTTCCCGCCTCTATTCAGTCTATTTCTGTTTTCTTCTTTCCTGCTTTTCTCTGTCAATGTTTTTTTTCAGAAAACCCCAGCCACCAAGGTATCAGATTGGTTCAGAACTAGACACCAAATATATTTAACAAAGTGCGGTGTGTTTTTTACCCCCTTTGTTGTCTAATAAGCACAAATTGTAGGTGAATTTGTTGACAGTGTGCCACATTGCCACCTCATTTAACCTGCAGTCTAAACAGTTATTCCATTCCTCTAACTGTGTGTGAAATAATGCTAATACATGTACTGTATATCAGTCTAAATCCTTGATTGAAATTAACCACCAAACCTAAACCAGACTAAACATAGCTTTGTCTGACAACATGCTCTGATGGAAAGAGCTACTTACTCAAAGTAGTACGTCTAGCAGTACAAAATGGTTTATTGGATCCTGCAATATTAAACTTTTCACGTTAGTATGCTATAATGCCTTCAGGGCAATGACGTCAGTCTACATCTCCATAACTTTGATCATTTATATGAGAGGGAGGATGTAAAATGAAAAGTATATTTGCTGATGCCATCCATCCTGTTCTATACCCTGTCCTTCCAGAGTTCCCAGGAAACACATTGTGGACACAGACATCCATTTTTACCATGTGCCCACTCATGCTGATGCCAGCAGGAAGCGCATAACGGAGGACACAGAGGACTGGCGCCCACGCAGCGGGACAACCCAGTCCAGGTCTTTCAGGATTCTGGCTCAGATCACCGGTACCGAGCGCGGTACGTTACTCACTGAAGTGCACACGGTGACGACGTTTGCATAGTCATTACCCCGTCTTTTGTTAGTGCACCTGAGCTAATGAAGCGACACATCTGAGCACAGGGCGACCTCCATACATAGGGCTGACAAACATTGCAACATCACGATGCTGACTGTGTATCGTTTTCTTTCTAAATCGAAAGCTTATTATTTTCTTTTATGGACTTTCTATTCTTTCCCTTTTAGCTCAAGAGGAGGAAACCGACGCAGCCAAGAACACAAAGTAAGTGCAATGAAACTGCTTACTGGGGTTTTAATAGCCCCAGACTCCCCGTCATCAGTTTTTTTTTATTGTTATTTGTATGAATAAGTGCATTGTGTGGAATAACAATACATTTCATTTAGTTATTTGTTTTAACCCACTCAGTCGGTAGCCTCCAACACATAAATGCCACGTTTACATACATAGAGCAACAGGAAATGTGACTGCGGATCTCTGTGGCACAGCCCGGCAATTCTACTGATGCTGTGTGGCCTCTTCCTGTCTAGACGGCAAAGAAGGGATCACATTTGAGCCATTAAGTCGAAAGCCAGATCCCTGTGCACTGTACAGTATGTCCATTTTTAATCGCACCAATAAGTTCAGAATGCAGTTTTAATTAAATTCCCCTCTGAGATTGCTGAAAGCTGGTAGCTGACAGTGTTTTCACCTGTCCTTGCCGATCAAAATGTAACTTCATGAGATTTTTGTCCATGTGCTACTACTGGTTGTTTGTGGATGTGACAGCCTTGCAGTGCCGCATGTCATGATCTGTGATCGTGTTGTTGACAATCATGGCTGGACTGTTGGTCTTGTGGTCCGTGTGATGTGAGTGGTCCATTGGCTGTCCATAGCTCTTGCTGGTTTGTGGCGATACACGTGATCGCCGAGTGTCTGTGATCACTTGTGTTAACATGCTGACAATCCCGCTGTCCGTGGGTGTTGTTGTTGTCATGGTTGAATTAATTCATCATTTCAGTCCATCCTGGCCATGATCCGTTGGCTGCATTGAGACCTCACGACACAGGAGGTAAAGCTGCAGTTGGTCACTATTATAAAGATAACTTTTAACATTTGCTGCCACTATATCCTGACAGTAGTACATGGGACAGATAATCTGTCTAAGGAGTCTCTTAAGCAGCTGTCAATTAGATGAAGCTTGTGAACTCTGATCAAATATGAATCCAGATTCTGTATTGCCATTTTCTCACCTCAAATGTTTTCAGAAACACATTTTAACAATTTAGCTGTAAAATGAGAACTTTTACTTTGTTTGGGCTCAACTGTTTTCAACATGGCGGCCAGGCCTCAAACTTTCTCATTCAACAGCTAAACGGTACACGCTACACATTTCCACCCCATCAATACCTTTCCTGTTTATTATCAGCTTCTTGTTTGTGCCAACAGCCCTTTCCGTATCATCAGGCTTTACTTGTGGCATGGCTTACATTGTATCTCATCACAGACTGCAGGGCATCTACCCTACTTTTCCTAAATCCTTATTTTCTCTCTCGTTTGGTGTTTTTTCTCTTCTTTTCTCTCTCTTCTGGTGATGGCAGAGTGAAAAAGACCAACACTCGGATGGTGATTGGTCCTAAGTACAACGAGCTGAGAGACTGGCACCACGGAGTGTCTGCTCGCACCCTCAATGTCCAGTAAACCAGTAGACTGTGTGTGTGTGTGTGTGTGTGTGTGTGTGTGTGTGTGTGTGTGTTTGATTGTCTGCCTGTGTATGTGTGCACTA